GGGGGGCGGCCGGGGATACGACAGGAGATAATCCAGTCAGGGTGTAGTGCAGCAACGATGAAACATACAACTTTCCTCTAGTTCTGAAATGCTTCCTCCCCCAGACTATCATGATCCCAGTTCTACCTTACAACTCCAGCTAGACCAGAGGATGTACACTGGTACAGGTAGGAACTGGAAATACAGGGAATCCAGGGCAGATGAACCCTTCAGGACCAGTGGTGAGAGGACGATATGGGGAGGGTGGAGGGAAGGTGGGGTGGAAAGAGGGAACTGATTACAAGAATCTATATATAACCTCCGCCCTAGGGAACGGACAACAGAAAAGTGGATGAAGGGAGACATGAAAAAATACTAATAATTTGTAAATTATCAAGAGTTAATGGGGGGGGGGTCAGGGAAGGAGAGGGAAAAATGAGGAGCTGATACCAAGGACTCAAGTAGAAAGCACTTGAGAATGATGATGGCAAAAAATGTCCAAATGTGCTTGACACAATGGATGGATGTATGGATTGTGAAGAGTTGTATGAGCCCCCAATAAAAATTTTTTTAATGAGGCCAATAATATTCCCTTTCCTTCATTTGCATGAAATAAAGAGGATAGAAATAAGTCAGATAAAGATATAAGCGTATCTGATTAATATAAGACTTACTATCACAAAGATATGATTCCTTCACAAAATAAGTATAATTTCAGTCCAAATCTCTAAAAACGTTTCTTACTGCTTGACAAGTGATTCTAAAATTCACCTGGAAGAGAAGCTCTAGAAAAACACGCAAATGAAAGAAAACAAAGTCAGAATTTTGTGAATCATTTTGAGAGTATTATAGAGCTAAGTTTGAAACCAATATGCCATTAGCCTATTGCTGTTATTGTGTGCCATCAAGTTAATTCCAACTTCTAAGTCAGAAGAGAATTGACTTCTGAGGTTTGTAAGGCTTTAATTTTCACTGAGGCAGCTTGCCACGCTGTTCTCCCGTGGAGTCGCTGGTAGGTTCAGTCAGCAGTTAAGCGTAAATCCTCACTGCCATTGAGTTGATTCCAACTCACAGTGACCCTATAGGTCAGAGTAGACCTGCTCCATAGGATTTCAGAGTCTGTCAGGAGCAGATAATCTGTCTTCCGAGTAGTGAGAAGGTGTAGACAAACACATGAATGAAATAAAATGAATAGACATACATGTGGATTTTGCAAAAAATAAGGGCCGAAGGATAGGAATATACTGTTTAATCAAGTATTAGGTCAAGTAGCTATCCTTAATAAAACATTAAAATTCCTATCTCATTCCATATATTTCCCACCCTCCAAAAAAATCCCAGACGAATTCAAATTCTAAAAAGAACAACAACTGACCAAATGAAAATACAGAGAGCATTTATAGGTGGGTTAGGAAACGCCAAGTGAGAGAAAACTCAGAAGCTATCACTCTGACCCTAGAGGAAAGGCATGAATTTTACCTTTGTATTGTAATTTCCTCTCATTAACAGCAATAAAGTGAATCCCAATCTCTGTTGCATTCTAATTATTATGCAAGCATCTTTTCAGCGTTTGAAGAAACAATCATAAGCATAAAGGGACAATGTGGAAAGAACCTATTTTACAAGATAATTTCTGTCATATTAATCCAAATACAAGGCAATTTATTACTGAGTGAGTGGGCATCTTATTGATTTTAGTGCTAGTGGTTCACAACTACAATTAACAACAACAAAAATGCATAAAATGAAACCTAATAGAAAACTCAATGTGAAAGTAAAGACATACTATGCTTTTAAAATTGGCCAGTGGATTTCTTAATAATTCATAATCATTTACTTAAGAGTAATGACATTTTGAAACCTAGATTGGGAGGCAAAGCAAAATTTACAGCAGTCAACATTTTAAAGGTGTACTTTTATAATCCACCAAAAAAGAAAATGGTGATAAATGGGTTTTGGAGCGGGGTAAAAACTTGGGGATTATGTATTTCTATGTTGACAAAGTATTTTCATAAGCTAATTAAGGTTATTTATCTGAATGGCTTTCAGTTACACATTATGAGTTGATTTCACATAATGGATGAGCAATTTGTAAGTCCAGCTACAGCAGACCGAGCATCTATAATGGAATGGATAATATCAAAGGTACTTCTCTGGTTCACTTTCCATTACTCCATTTTTCTCTTCAAGGTGCCAGTTCCCGTGGCCCCACCCATTGCTACCACTGTTATCTCCAGTCACAGTGCCTTTCCCCCTTGACTCGAAATTTCATTCCTGTCTTCCCAACCCTGCATATCCTCTTTTCTTTTCTATTTTAAACAATTTTATTGACATATAACTTATGTACCATACAATTTAATGATTTAAATATATTTAAGGAGTTGTATACTCATCACCACAATCAATTTTAGAACATTTTCTTCATTTTTGTACCTGTTCTTATTGGCTCCTCATTACCCCGCAACTAAGGGAATATTAATCTAGTTAGTCTCTATGGATTTACCTATCCTGGATTTCATATAAAGAAAATCATTCAAAAAAGCAACAACATAATAAAATATCAAAAAACGTCTCTACCCAAGAGAAAGCAGAATAGGACGTAGAACAAATAAAAAATGGTAAAACAAATGATAACATGTTAAACTTTAACGACATATGCAGTAATCCACTTTCCATTGCACTGAGGGCAAGGCTATTCACATCCGTTGTCCATGGTCTGAGAGAATTCAGTGGAGGGTAAATCACTCTGAGGGACTCTACACTGTCACTGTAGTCTTCCCCGCAGTAACTCAAAACCAAACTCACTGCCATCGGGTCTATTCCTGCTCAAGCAACCTTGAAGGAAAGGACAGAACTGCCCCTGTGGGTTTCTGAAACAACTCCTCTGACTCTTAACACCACACCACCAGCTTTTCTAAAGTTTAACGTGCTATTTTATTGTTGCCAGCGATCAGGACATTGACAGTAATCAGGAGATAGAAAAGTAGCAACGAAGAGGAAAGAACTAGATACAAAAGGACTGGTACACAATCATATATGCCTTATATATGCAAAATAATGTCATTGGTCTTTCCTCTCATTCTAATCTTGAGATAATGCCAGTGTCTCCTTGCCTAAACCACTATCATGCCATAACGCTTTTAAACGTTGGTCTTCTTATACGAATTTTTTTATAAGCTTCGCTATCTTTCAGGGATAGGATACGGAGGTATAGGAATAGGGTCACGGAGCCAGCAGCTCCATAGAGATGGGTAACTAGGGTCCCAGAAAGTCGTCCGCAAACCAATGAAAAGTTTAGGGTACCATCTCACATTCTTATTTCACTTTAAAAATTTTTCTAACGGCCCTGATTCTCTGGCAACCTCAAAGTTACTTTCTAGAAAATAAAAACGTGAAACATCTAACACAATGGTGGGTGCATGCTCTGGTAACAGGGGGCTGAGGATAGTTTCTTCGAAAGCGGAAAAAGGTGAAGCTTCGAATCTCAAGAGAAACAGACGCCCTCCCGAATTTGCAGTGGTGCTTTGGCAGAAAGAAGTCACGCTTTGTCAACTGGAGAAATCCCCAACCCTCGCCCTGTGGCCAGATCCGGCGGGCGAGACACACTCCCGCCTAGGCGAGCGGCAAGATGCTCGCGGGTTTTCGGAAAGGAACTACGTGCAGGAGGCCCAGAAACCTCAGTGGAGAGTTGTTATCTCACGTCCGGGCTCGCAACTCGGGAGGTTCGTCACAAACACACTTGGTACAAATAGAAGAGAGGCCGAGGGGTCGGGCCACCCAGTTGTGAGACGAAGCCCACCCACAACAAGGTCGTTCCCAAGGCGACCGGCCTCAATCTCGTAAACTACTCACCGGCGACTTCAGGCTCGCGACTACAACTCCCAGGAGGCGGCGCGGCCGACAGAGCCGGGTCCCTCCCAGCATGCAGCACGGCTACGCCCCGACCCATACTTCTTTTTTCTCGACTCCACCTACTTCGCTACCCGTCGTCACTAGGGAAAGCGGGAGGTAGGGTGCGGGGGGTGGGGGGGTAGAGCCCACGCCCTCGGCGCATCGCGTCAGACGTTGGGAGGGGGAAAAGGCGGGGAGCGGAGGGAGAATGGGAGGACGAAGGGGAGGGGAAAGGGGAGGGGTGGGTAAATAGTGGGCCAGGCAGGAAGATGGCGGCCGTAACTGAGGTGTGAGTTGACCCCGGGTCTCTGCGGCTGGATTTTTCCTTTCCCGTTTTCCTTCCCCTGCCCTCCCCCGTTTAAGGTTGGCATCCAGAGGGTCGAGTTCGGGGGGCAACGCCGGGCGCAACGCCGGCGTCACGACGACGGCGGCGGCTGACGGCTGGAAGAGCAGGCTTCCTTCGCCGCTCGTCCTCCTTCCCCGGTCCGCTCGGTGTCAGGCGCGGCGGCGGCGGCGGCGCGGCGGACACACTTCGTCCTCACGCCTGCTCCCCCCCGCGCCCGAGCGGGCACTCTTCCCTTCGCCATCCCCCGACCCTTCACCCCGGGGACTGCGCGCCTTCCCCGGCGCACCTCAGGGAGCGGAGGCCGCTCTCCTGCTCGGCTGTCGCGCCTCCATGTCGGATAACCAGAGCTGGAACTCGTCGGGCTCCGAGGAGGATCCCGAGACGGAGTCCGGGCCGCCTGTGGAACGCTGCGGGGTCCTCAGCAAGGTGAGCCACCCACGGGCTCGGGGGTGCCCGGCCCGGACCCACCTGCTGCGAGGCGAGCGGCCGAGGGCGTGGGGTGGGGTGGGGCTGGGCGGCAGGCTGGCACCGTCCCGGGGCGGGGGCTGCGGAATGGGTCGCGGTGCCGGGCTGAGTCCGGCCGCAGGGGTGCTGGCGGACGGGGGTGGGGGCCGCGGACGCGGGGAACCCAGCGACAGCCGGAGCTCCAGTTTGGGAGGCGGGAGGCACAACCGTGACTTGGGACCGAGGACGGCAGCTGCCCGGGCTCTAGGAATCCAAGTTGGACAACCGCCTTGCCGGAACTCCTCGGCTCGGGGGCGGTGTGAGACGGGCTCCCCCAAAGGAGCTCAGTCTGGAGATGCCGATCAGAAAAGGGCCTGGGGGTGCTCAACAAACACTCGTGTGAAGGTGGAAGCCGGGACAGCTCACCTTGGTGCTAAAATCTGAGGTGTTAGGATATGCCTGCTTTAGGTGGACTGAGAGATGAATGAGGAGGACTTGTATACGAAGTCTCCCGACCCTCTACCCCAGCTCTGGACAGTGCTATTTAACCGACACGTGACAATCAAGAAAATCATAGTAATTTGAAACATGTCATGGAGAGTGAACTTTAGGTCCAGGAAGAAGAGCATTATTTAATAAGATTCTTGCAGGCAGAGGCTCAGTGTTAAGAAAAAGAAAAAGGCACTTACTTTGGGGGGGGCCTGTGTGTAAAATGTATCCCCATTTTAAAGATTTTGCAAAGTAGATAGTCATTTGCAGGACTATAAAGGTAATAATTAAAATGGATGAAACCCTCTATAACAGAGAACGTTAGTTGATATTTGATAGTCTTTATTTTAAGTGCTCGCTTTGAAAAGATTCACGTAGTTTTTTCTACTTCCTTCTTCCTTCCTGTTAAAGTTTTAGAAAGGGCTGGAGCTTACTGTTAACTTGGAGAGAGGAGGAGCTGGGGCCAGTCCTTTACAAGTTGATCATAAGATACTAGGTCATGTGCAGCCACTAACTCTTAAGAAATCACCCTGCTTCCAGTATGCATACTTGGCTAAGCATTTGGACCTGTTTGTAGCATTATTTCATATTAAGCTATTAGGATATCTTTAGAAAGCTGGTGAGAAAGGGCCTAGGAAAGGGTTGTACTGTATATGTAAAAACTAAGGTTTGCAAGCATTCATTTGTCCAGCAGAAAATTATGGTGTGTGTTACTGTGCTCATTCTTGAAATTGAAGTCAGGCTCCCGAGGGTTTCTTTAGATTAAATGTGTCTTGTAACTAAGGAATCTGTTGAATATGTTGTGTAGTAGTATACGGGTTTTTAAGATGGAATAGCTATGGAATGGGGTCTTTGTTTCTCAGTGATTTGGGCAGTTGTCACCACTTTTTCTCATGAGAAGAATGCTGCCATGGTAGTATTGTGGTAAAACAAGCTGTACTTTTGAGCAGTGGAATAACGAGTGGAAAAAGGCACCGATGGATATTCACTGTACGCAGTCTACCAAAAAAAGAAAAAAAAGATGGCTTTCTGTTTCACACTAAAATGCATAGAAATGTAGTAATGGACCACTTCTGTGCAACGTGAATAGCTTTCAGTTTTTAACTGTGGCTGCATATATAGAACCAATAAGATGTTGCTTCAGTATTAGTTGCATGGACAAACATGACGGAAAATTTCCTGAAATTTAACAGTCTCTGGTTATATATAATGTCTAGAAGATTTTAGTCAAGATATTTTATATTTATACATATTCTGAGTATGGCACATGTTTTCACATTAAATATATAGAATTTTTCATATTCAACTGGTAACTTAAAACATTGGTTGAAGTCAGTAGCTGTATGTTTTGTGTTTGTTTCTTGTAATATTTTATTATGCCTTAGGTAAAAGTAAGGAGCCCTGGTGGCACTGTCGAGTAAGCATTAGACTGCTAACTGCTAGGTGGGTGGTTCAAAATCACCGGTTGCTTGGAGAGAGTAAGATGAGACTATCTGCTCCTGTAAGGATTTTATAACCTCAATTAACAATTTTTGTGCAAATTGTTCTCTGACATTGGTTACAGTTTTCACTATGTGACATCATTTTTATTATTTCCATTGTTCTAGCTTCCATTCCTTTATTTGCCTTCTCATCTTTGCTTTTGGGTAATTGTTAACTGTCTAAAGCACATTGCTCAAGAGTGATCTTACGTATTTTTTAAGTCAATCTACTATTTGGCATAAAGCTGACCTCCAGAAATAGCTTCAGTGCCAAGCTCAAAGGATGATAATCTCTAGTCTCTCAGTTCAGTCTGGCCTTTCTTAAGAATCTGAATTATGTTCCATATTTTTCTCCCATTTTATCCAGGATCTTCTATTGTACCCATGGTCAGAACGTTCAGTAGTGGTAGCAGGGCACCATCTAATTCTTCTGGTCTCAAGCTAGAAAAGGGAATGGGGCCGTCAATCTTGTGGACAAGTTTCTTTGAGCTTTTAGTTTCCTTCATTCTCTTTTGCTCCATAAAGTAGAGATCAGTAGTAGTTGTATCGTAGATGGTCACTCACGAGCTTTTAAGACCCAGATGCTTCTTACCAAACTAGAATGTATAGCATTATCTTTATGAACTGTGTTATACTACTTGATTAAATTGCCCTCTGAGACTGTGGTTCTGAGTTTTAACCCAGTAAACCAATTCTGTGAGTTGTTTGGTTATGTTTAGGAAACCATACCCCTTATGTGCTTAGTTATCTATATGGATTTATGAGGGTCTTGATTACCAGTCATGGGAAAATTGTATTTTTTTAAAGTACTTTTTGAAACTCATATATACAGTGCACACAAACATGCTTACAGATACACCTATACATGCACATGCATTTATTTGCATATGCCTACTTTACACATGTAAATATCCATATCTACCTCTGAAACCACACTTTTTTTTTAAGTCATTGCAAATTTGCCCCCTTTTCTTGGGTATTTCTGGGTACTTTCATTTACTTTGTTCAAGTTGTGTTGGTTTCACCTATATTTGGTTTCGCCTTTTCATCACCGAAAAACAAGTATCTACTATCTATTGATTCTTCCTTCCCTACCCCTTCTATCCCTCGTATCTATTAAGGAATATTACTTTCTATATGTATACTTTTGATTTTTTTATAAAAGTCAGACTATATAATATTTATCCTTTTGTTGTTGATTAATTTTACTTAATATGTTCCAGATTCATCCATGTTATACAATGATGTTTTGTTTTATTCTTTATAGTTTCAACCCATTGTATATAAGTACCACAGTTTGCTTTTGCACTTAAATTTCCATCTTTTTTCAGTATGAACAGTGCTGCAATACAAAACACAGTTGCCCATATGTTCACATGACTGCTCTTATCTCTTGGATATGAGGGTATGTGAAAAAATAATGTTCTTAAGGTTCTAGGTACTACATGCACAAGCTTATTGCAAACAAATGTGCTTAAATATGCTTCTCTAATCAGTGGATGGCTGCAGACAAGTTCTCTTTGGGATATATTTGTCTTAGCCTTCTTAAAGAGCCCAAGTGGCGTAGTGGTTACCCAATCAATGGACTATGTGAGCTGCAAGGTCCACAGTTCAAAGCCACCAGGTGCTCCTTGGAAGAAAGACAGGGCTTTCTACTCTTGTAAACACTTATAGTCTCAGAAACTCATAGGGCAGTTCTATACTGCCATGTCGGGTGGTTATGAGTTGGCATTCACTCGATAGCAGTGAGTTTGGTGTTTGGTTTTGGTTTTAGTTTTCTTAGAGCAACCTCACTTAAAAAGGTCCAATCAAAACAGTGGCTTCTGAAGGGATTGAGCCAGTTAAATTCAAGGCAGAAGACCAGCTCAGAAAATTGATTGTTTTGGGTGATTCTAAAGGGGTAGAACACAATTTGAGTCCCTGGGACAGGCAACCTCACGCTACTGGCTGTGGGCCACACGCAGCCCGCTGAGGATATTTATCCAGCGCGCCAGGTGTTTTTGCCCCATTTATTTTTCTACTTCAAAATAAGATATGTGCAGTGTGCATAGGAATTTGTTCATAGTTTTTTTTTTTTTAACTGTAGTCTGGCCCTTCAACGGGTCTGAGGGACAGTGAACTGGCCCCCTGTTTTAAAAGTTTGAGGACCCCTACCCTAGGGGGTACAACTGCCGTTTTAACATGGTCTAAATTGAATTCTTGGTGTAAGAGTTCGAGAGGCGGGGACATCACTTTCACAAGTGTATAGACCTAGATTGAGAAAAGAAACAGTAGCTTTACATTGTGAATTTTTTGCTTACTAAAGAGATCTGTGATTTTTTTTGTAGCAATACTTTTTGACTTACTCTTGTATACTGAGGAGTCTGGTTGCAGGATTATAAGGTTTTTCTAATGTTTTGAGAAAGGACCATACTGTTTTCCTTAGTAGTTGTACCATTTTATACCACTAATGTATAAGAGTTCTAATCTCCACAACTTTGCCAGCATTTTGTTACTTCCTATTGTTTGGTTGTACTTTAAACTCTCCAGTTCCTGGAGAGAAGGGCATTATACTGGAAAAGTAGAGGAGCAGCAAAAAGAGGAAGGCCTTTGACCAGATGAATTGACACAGTGTCTGCAAAACTGGGCTTGCACATAAGAACAACTGTGAGATGGTGCAGAACCAGGCAGTGTTTATTCTGTTGGAACGACTCAGTGGCACCTAACAACAGTAACGTTGTCTGGTCAGTGCCATTTTTGTAGGGCTGAGGTGGTCTCTGGGAGCTTTTGCTTACATCTCTCAGTCTCGAGTCTTACTTTTCTATTGAGTAATTTTAAAACCACGGTATTAGCTTAGGTCATTACTAACAATCGCGACCCTGCCCTGCAATGGCCTGGATTTGGGATAGGAGGGAGTAGGGAAGAAAAAAGTCCAAAAAAATTAATAATAAACTACAAGTCCAAAATTATGTTTCTCTGAAGTAATTTAAAATATATAGAAATACCTATGGAACCCATTCTCTATAGAATCACTTTGTACGTTTTCTTGGTTCCAAAAGTCCTGCTGGATAGACATTAATTCTAGGTGGCCATAACAAATACTAGTTTGGATAATGGCTGTAATACTAGTTTGAATTTGTGCCTTTATAGGGCATCAGCAAATAAGCCTGGCTAAAATTATGTCTCATTTATCATCTTCTGAATTCTCCTTATCCTTTGTGATTTCCCCATCTCTTGTTTCTCCATATACCTGTTAGATTAAATTCTGCCCATCTCAAAAGCTTAACCTTTCTGTAAACCATTTTCTTAAAGTGCCAATGATTCAAAATCTTCCTTTCAACTTTCATAGCATTTTTATTGTAATGTCCTTTTATTTTATATATACATGTATTACTTTTTACTTTATTATATAATATGCACACGACTAGTTTTTTTTTCTCATGATTTACTGCTTGCTGGACTATAGACATGGGCATTTTTTACTTCTGCAGTCTAGCATATTGCCAAGTCGTTATTTTTTAAATATGAGGAAGAGTAAAGAAATATGAGGATAAATTGAAAACCAACCCTCCAAGTCAGTGGTTCTCAACCTTCGTAATATCGTGACCCTTTAATATAGTTCATGTTGTGGTGACCGCCAAACCATAAAATTATTTTTGTTGCTACTTCGTAACTGTAATTTTCCTATTGTTAAGAATTGGGCGAGCCCTGGGAAAGGGTGTTCCACTCCCCCCCAAAGGGGTCGCGACCAACAGGTTGAAAACTGCTCTCTAGGTGCTACAATAGTGCTAACGTACTTAGCTAAAGGACTAGAATTTATGTAATTTTGTTGGACTCCCTATAAGAAACCAACATAAAATCATGGATACATGATTTTGCTTGGGATTGGGCTTCTCATATCACTTTGAAAGGGACCTGTTCTGCTGAGGTGAAATTTAAGCTTTCTTGGTTATAATTAACTCTGCCTCCAACTGAGCAAATACTGTATGCCAGGGGCTGTTCTGATTGTATTCTTACTTAATCTCTACAACAGTAAGAGGTAGATTTTGATGAAGAAATCAGGTAAGTAACTTGTCCACGGTCATGACAATAATTGAAAGCAAATTAGGATTAATTTATATATATGCCACCGAAGCAAGCACTTAGGATTAATTTATAAAAATTTTGAAGGCTAGTCTAAACCTTTTGCATTCTAGGCAATGAGGAGTTATTTATATAACTTTCAGAGAATTAGATTAATTTGTAAGATAAGTAAACATTATTTAGATTTAGATTAATTAGATAGAATTAGATTAATTTGTAAGATAAGTAAACATGATTTATAAATAAGATTATATAAGTTATGAATTAATAATTTTAAATAGTGATATTGAGTTGCATTAAGAAAAATATTTAAGTTGGTGGTTTTAAAGATTGATGGTGTAGAATTCTTTATATAGTTATATATAAAGTATATAAATTTGTAAGTGGAAATAATGTACAATAAAATTGACATTTTGCCAAAGAATAGCTTAATATTTCTCTTGATTCAAAAGGCTCATGTAGTACTTAGTGTGGAAGAATGAGAAACTATATGATTGAATTTATGTTTCTAGTGAATAACTTAATTATAGCATATAACAATTTAAGTTTAATGAAGATGGTGAAGGAGGAAGATGAAAACAAAGAATAAAGCAGAATTTTTAAACAAAATCTTGTTTCAATTATTCATCAAATATTAGAGAATTTTATTTTTACTATTTTATTTCACTTGTTATAAAAATACCCAAATTAACTGTACAATCTAAAAAATTTAAACCTTTCATTTCTATAATTTTAGTGCCCATGTGCATAGTTACGTTTGGACATTTCATATTTTAGTTTTAAAATAGAATTGTTCTAGAAAGCTTAAATTTTGAAAATACTAACTTTTTGTTTTCTTCTTTCCTCAACAATCTTTTACCCAGTGGACAAACTACATTCATGGATGGCAGGATCGTTGGGTAGTTTTGAAAAATAATACTCTGAGTTATTATAAATCTGAAGATGAAACCGAGTATGGCTGCAGGGGATCCATCTGTCTTAGCAAGGCTGTCATCACAGTAAGTTGCTTTTTTCCTTCATTCAACATATACTTAGTGAGCACCAACTATATACCAGGCACTGTCCTTAGTAAACAAAATGTAAAGTCATGCCCAGTGGAGCCTACATTCTAATATTTTTATTGGCAGTTATATTGGAGCTCTTAATTACTGAATAAGGAGCCTTGGTGTCACTGTTGAGTAAACATTGGACTTCTAACTGCTAGGTCGGCGATTTAAACCCAACAGCCATTCCAAGGGACAAAGATGAAGCTATCTGCCCCTTTAATGATTTACAGCCTCAGAAACTTCACATAGGGTTGCTATGAATTGGAATTGACTCGGGGACCCAGAGTTTGTTTTTGCTATTACTATGTGCTTTCAATTTGTATAACCAAACCATACTCACTGCCAGTCAATTCTGACTCATAGTGACCCTATAGGCCAGAGTAGAACTGCCCCTAAGAGTTTTCTACTCCCGTATCTTTACTGGAATAGAAAGCCCATCTTCAGCTTGCTGGTAGTTTCGAACTGCACCCTCAGGACTCCTGTTCAATTTGTATTAGACCTGTAGTATTTATCCAGTTGGTATGTCAAAGAAGTTTAAGCACTTCAGAAAAAGATGTAAACCACTTTCCTAGTTAATGGAATTGGGACAGTTAACATGGTAGGTTATTGAAAACAGTAAAGCTGAAAAATCATAAAAACTGAAATAGATATAACTTATACGTAAAAAAATTGTAATTGAAACTATATAGATGTATATTTACATACCAAAAATTTAATATAAGAGCAAGTGCCATCCCTTTGAATATGAAGTTTAAAGATCTTAACTTTTTAAAACTACATATTATATCTATAATGTATACTCTCTGATTCTCAGTTTTGATTTCTCTAAAATGGAACAAAAGCTTAAAAGGTGATTTTAAGAATAGGTCCTAGTATTGTGTACCGTTACTACTTTTGGGGTGTTTTTTTGTTTGTGTTTGTGTGTTTGGATTTCTTATAATATTTTATAGTGGTCTCTTAGCTAACTTAATATCTTTTAAAGAAATGGCTCATCTTTATTGGGTCATTATTACTTGGTTTACATTCACCTTAGTTTACAAAGAAGCTGCATGTTGTAGTGTTATCTCATAGACTTAAGTAATATTTAATTAAAATATATGTAAGGATTACAACAAGTATAACTGGCATAAACAGGTTTGGGAATAAACACCTGACCTTTATTAAGCATATAACTCAACTAGTGAAATAAGTGCCTGATTACACTAAAAATAATCCTTGTTAGCTACAAATGGTCACTATACTGTAGGCATATCTATAGAGGGCAAAAAGTCTCTTGGCTAAGTCAGGTCACTGAAATGGAGGTCAGTTAAGGACCCTATTGTACTTTTAATCTGTAAATGGACACATTAAAACCTAAAAAAGAAGATCATAGATTTTTCTGGTACATTCAAAGATAAAAGTCAAAAAATTTTATAGAATTATTCAAACTAAAATATGTGCTCTGGATTTGTGCTTTTATTTAAATTCCTATTTTTATGTTAGATGCCTAAGGAAAATCTTACAGCAGTTTTTTTTAACATGTTCCGCCTTGTATATTCAAAATTTGAAAGCAAAAAGCAGCTCAATCAATGCTTTTGAGAGGATTAATCAAATAGCAAGCTAGAAAAACTTAAGCCAATTGTTTGGAAGTATCCATAATTAAACTCTTCTCTAGAGAACATTTTAGAGAAACATTTGAACCTAGTGGCTTAGTAAGTATTTTGATCAGTGTGTGATACATTAAAGGAACTCTGTTGGATTACACGTTGGGCTGCTGGCCACAGTTAGCAGTTTGAATCAACTCGCTCCATGTAAGAAAGGTGAGGTTTTCTGCTCCTGTAAAGGTTTACAGCTGCTGAAACACAAAGGGGCAGTTTTACTGTGTCTTAAAGGGTCACTGACTCGATGGCACTCAGTTTGTTGTAGGATTTTTTTCGTGTGTGTGTGTTAGAGAGATTCATTATGGGTGTTTTGAAATTGCACCTACTCTCACATTTTGGATGTTTTCTTTCTCTTGAAATAATTTATTCTGGATAACAGTTGTATGAGCCCCTAATAAAATGTTAAAAAAAAAAAAAGGAATAATTTATTCATTCTTGAAGGCATAATAGTGGATAAAAAGACTTGAATGGTCTTCCCATGATCCTTCGTTTTCCTTCCTTTTTTCCTACATTGTCAGATGTTATAATTAGTTAAAATTCTTGAAACTTTAAAAATAATCTCCTGGTGATTGGTGTGAAAATTAGTAGGAATGGAATGTTCAGTTTTTGTGAATTAACCCTTTGCTCTTAAGTTGAATCATGCTCATAGCACTTGTATGTAGGATTTCTAAGACTCTCTCTGCTAGAACAGATAGCCTGCCACTTCATCCTCCCACAGAGCAGCCTGTAGGTTTGAACCACCAACCTTTCATTTAGTAGCCCAGCACATAGCCCACAGCAATTACAGCCATAGAAAATGTCCTATGGGGGCAGTTGAGCTCTCTCCCCTGAGATTGCTGTGAGTCAAAATCAACTTGACAGCACCTATTAATAGCATTCTTAGAGATCATGCAATTTTTGATAAAGTTAAATGTAGGATGATTATGGGTTGCCGATGGATCTTGGTTGAAAGCAGAGAATTCATAAAGATGTTTACTAGTGTTTCATTAAATGTATAAAGACTTGTGTGGATCAGAGCAAATTATGGATAACATCAAAAAATGATATTTGCATAACTTAATTGTGCTCATGAAGAATCTGTACAAAGAGCAATCCTTTGGACAGAAAGAGTATACTACACAATTTAGAATTGTGTACAGCAAGGTGTACATCAATCAGCACTTTATTCTTTCACTTTACTTAATCTGTGTACTTAGTCTGTGTACTGAGTAAATCTGAAAAACTGGAATATATGACGAAGGATATAATATCAGTTTGGAGGAAGATTTATGTAGGTGATATAACCTTGCTTGCTAAAATAGAAGAGAACGTGAAGCACTTACTAATGAAAATCAAAGACTGCAGCCTTCAATATAAGTTTTACCTCAACACAAAGAAAACAAAAATCCTTTTCAACTGGACCAATAATAAACATGATACATGGGGAAAAAGTAAAAATTGTTGAATATTTCATTTTCCGTCCATAACCAATGCCCATAGAAGCAGCAGTCAAAAAAATCAAATGACATGTTGGATAAATCTGCGATGAAATTCCTTTATAATATGTTAAAAGGCAAAGATTTAGATACTTAGGAGCTCTAAGACATGGTAACTATTTTTTCTTCTTAATTTCTTAACTACCTGAATGTTGTCCTTGGATAAATACTCTGTTGATCTTAAGTGATTGCCTAGATAGATAGTATTACTTTTCCCTTTCAAATATTCAAATATTCTTTCAAAACATATCCACAGATCTATTCCCATTCTCCCTCCTATACCTGTTCACCATACATGTCCATCATAGTCATTGCAGGAGTATGTATGTATGTATATATGTATATGTGTGTGTGTGTGTGTGTATATATATATAATAGTACTTAACTCTGTTGCCTTTAACTGATACAAACTTCCCAGTATTTTTCCTTGACTCCATCATTTTTTTGTCAGCCACCCTTTAATGCAGCTGTTCTCACCCTGTGGGTCGCAACCCCTTTGGGGGTTGTATTAGTCTAGGTACTTTGGAGAAACAAATCCACAGCAACTCACGTATAAGAGAGAGTTTTATGCAAAGAAAATGTGCATCACGAAAACATCCCAACCCAATGCTGCCCAAGCCCACAAGTCCAACATTAACCCATACCCAACACCAGTCCACAAAGTCCTTCACCTCACAAAACAGAGGCAATAATGCCGACTGCAGGAGGAAAGCTGAGTCAGTGAATGTGTACGCATCTCAGCACTGGCAGGGGTCTCCACATGGCTGCTCCAGCACCCGGGCTGCATCGGGATAGATCCATGCAGCTTCTCCTTGGGGATGTCTTGTAGGAAATCAATCTTGCAAGCTGAAGCAGGGAACTGCTAAGGCAGCTGCACCCGATGCAACCATCACAAAACAAGAGACCCGAGAACTAGAAAGGCGAGGCTTCACCACCCATTTATCCCTCCGCCTTTCAACCAGACTCACATGTGATTATCGGCCAGGCTGGCACAATTAACTAACTCAGGGGTCGAATGACTCTTTCACAGGGGTGAAAGATTCATAACAGTAGCAAAATTACAATTACGAAGTAGCAACAAAAATAATTTTATGGTTGGGGGGTCACCACAACATGAGGAATTGTATTAAAGGGTCACGGCATTAGGAAGATTGAGAACCATTGCTTTAATGTATATAGCCCACGTCTTCACCTAAGGTAACTGCCTATCCTCTAGCCGGTGACTTCTCCCTTCCTCTCCCAACTATGGTAACCATCAAAGAAGGTTTCTTTTAGTGTAAAAACTCATTCTTGACATATTGCAATAGTGGTCTCATACAGTATATGTCCTTTTGTGATTGACTAATTTCATTCAGCATAATGTGCTCCAGGTTCATCCATGTTGTCATGCATTTCGTAGATTTATCGTTATTCTTTAACATTTCATAGTATTCCATTGTGTGTCTGTACCAAGGTTTATTTACCCACTGAAGAGAATTTAGGCAGTTTCCTTCTTCTTTACTATTGTGAATCGTGCTGCAATGAACATGGGTGCCCAGATGTCTATTTGTGTTGTGGCTCTTATTTCTCTTGGACATATACCACCTGGAAGAATTGCTGGGTTATCTAGTTGTGGTATTTTCAGTGGTTCATCTGGGTATGGAAGCTAAGCATGAGTGAGAAAGACTGGAGAATTGATATATTTACATTTCGGTGTTGGCGAAGAATATTGAAAGTATCATGGATTTCCAGATGAAAAAATGCATGTATCTTGGAGGAAATACAGCCAGAATACTCCTTAGAAGTAAGGATGGTGAGACTTTAACCTCATGTACTTTGGAAATGTTATCAGGAGTCC